ATGCCTCCTGGGGTCATCTAATTACCTTCTAGACATGTAGCAAGAAGCCTTCTGCCATGTAGAGACTGCAAACTCCAATGCTTACAGAGGCCAGCAAGAGAATGTGGGCGGGGGTGAAGCAGGCTGGTTATAGGGTATTTGCCAGATAAAGACACTGGGGCAGTGTTTTCTTTTCCTTTTATAAAAATAGCACACGTGTGATGGCAAATAGCAAAGTACTTGGCCTCAGCTTGGGGAATGCAAAAGGGAAGGAAAGGGCCCATGCCAAAGAGCATAGTGCATGAGACTCATAGACTCACAATAGCTGCTGCAGTACCAGTCATCACGGCCACCTTCCCAGCGGGAAGGAGAAGGATGTAGGACAGGGGGAGACAGGTAGAAGGAACTTCAAGGAGCAATAGTATCCTCCCCATGCCTTGTGCGTACATCTCCCATTGGTCATCTCTACCTGCCAGGGAGCGTTGAAAACAGTACAGGCAGGATTATGAATGTGACCAATTTCTGACTGTGCTTTTTAAGAATTTGTAGGCGAGTTAGAACAAGTGCATGATGTCCTTACTTAGCCTTACCTGGTGCACAGCTTCTTGGACTATGGGTCATAACTCCATATAGGGCTGTAACTGCATGTCAGTGGGGTAGGCTGGGTTGACTAGACAAGCAAATCCAGAGACACTCATGTGTAAGAGAGAGCTTTATGTCAAAGAGCAATTGTCTATTGAGAAAACATCTTAGCCCAGTGCAGATCAAGTCCATAATTCTGATGTTAGCCCATAAGTCCAACACTAGTCCATCAATCCCTCTTCAGACTCATGCAGCACATGCAGGAAGATCACATGCCAGTGGTGCAACGTCTTGAGGATCCAATGGCGGTGGAAGCATCTCAGAGTTGGTGTGGGTCTCCAGGTGGCTCATCCAGCTCTCAGAGTGTGGCTCTTCAACAGGAAGGTGAAGCAGAGAGAGGAGCTCTCTTGGGGTTCAGCAAGTCTCCATGTGGCTTGCCAACAGGAAGGCCAAGGCGGAGAGAGAGGGAGGCCAGCCTCCAGAGAGCCATTTATCTAGGTCGCCCTCCAATCAAGCTACAACCTGATTGACAGGCTGAACTCCAACCTTTCATTCTTAAAACCCTGGACTTGACACGAGATGATGTAACTGCCACAGTAAGGGTCACAACAATGTATTGGCAACCGTGACTGGTCTCTGAATGTGCAGGGACCAAACTTTCACTCAATATCAAACACATGATGAGTCCAAGGTGTTTCTAGCAGCGCTTGTCTGTGTTGCAAACGTATGGGGCCACAAGGAGTCAGGAGTGGGTAAATTTTAAAAGCCCTGCTTTCGTCCAAGAAAGGGCCCAGAGCCTTTCACCGAATGCAAAGCTGCCCAGGCAGCAGGTGACGGTGGTGGTGATGAAGACTGTTGTGAGAAGGGTTGGTTCAATCATTTCAAACCATGAAACAAAACTCACTGACATTGAGTCAATTCTGATTCCGGGGAGAACAACCCCGGAGGGTGTCCGAGACTGTAAATCTTCCTAGGAGTAGAAAGCCTCATTGTTCTCCCGCAGAGTGACAGGTGGCTTTGAACTGAGGACTTTGCGGTTAGCGGCCCAACGTATAACCCACTACACCACCAGGCTCTTCCTCATTTCAAAGTGAGGGCAAACTGACATAACAGTCAAGGGCACGTGGGAGTGGTTCGTAAATTGGATATTTGTAAGGTGGGACTGCCTGTATTTTTAATGGGCACGTTGCCACCATCCATGTTAAGATCGAATCAGAGAGACCAGGTGTCTTAGTTTTCCAGGGTGGCCATAACAAAATTCCACTAAGTGAGTGGCTTTAAGGAACAGAGACTTATATTCTCATGGTTTCAGAGGCTCGAAGTCCAAATTAGGGTCTCGACCATGGTAATTCCTTTTGGGTAAGGTGACCAGACGTCCCGCTTTTGGTGGGACAGTCCCAATTTTGGTGGGACAGTCCCGATTTTTAACAATTTTTCCCACATCCCGCGGCATTTTTTAAAAAGTCCCGATTTTTGGAAAGAATGCATGACAAGCTAGGGTATACGGTTTTCAGCTACCCTGTGGCTATTTCGCCAGGATATGAGTTTTATCAATGGTGTCCTGCTTTTGTCCCGCTTTACCAATGTTAAAATCTGGTCAC